CCATATGGGGCCTTAAGACGTCCGGCAGGAGTATCCCCACACCTCCAGTTGGGGTCATCACTCAGCAAAGTAACGAAGTAGATGAAGGTAGTTTGCCTTCAGTGCTTTTTTCTTTAATGCCTGACCTCTCTTTTTTAGCCTTTTCTAGCTTCCCCAAGGCTTGCTTTGTCATCAGCCTCCCTAGGGTAACCCATCTTTAAGAACTTTCTTACTGTCTCCTCCATTTACCCACCAATCCAAACTTAACTGTTTTGGGGTATCAGTCACCCAAGGGTCTTCTTGAGATGTAGTTTACCTAGTTAACTAATGACATTTAGCAAAATATTTACCAAATATGCTCTCATTTCCACTTCACAGCTGCTTCCTTTGAGTGCCCTCTCCTCCTGGAGGTCTTCTCTAAATCCTCGCAAGCTGATCTCCCCCCTCAAGCTTAATCTGGATACCCTGTGAATGAGCACTACAGCCTTATTATTCCTATTTTACAGATGAGGAAACTGAGGTGGAGAGAGGTGAAGTGATTTTCTTGTGGGCCCACAGCTAGTAAATGTTGGAGGCAGGATTTGAACCCAGGTCTGCCTGATTTCTGGTCCAGTGTTATATCTACAATACTGTGCTGCCTAGAGGGTTAATGTTTTACTCCTTCCGAGTTACACATTTGTGCTTTAACAGGAACCTTCTGGAGACCAGGCTTGAATTCAGAAGAATGATTGCAAATAGCAGGAATTATAGTCACCAGGGCGGTCGGAAGAAGGAGTTATTTTGGTTCTGGGGACATTTCAGTGGCCCTCAGGAGACATCATGTAGGCGGAGCTCTAGTGGGTTGATGCACAGGGCAGGCTTTGCCTTCAGGCTCTTTTGAGAGAGCTAGTGTGTGGGAGGGAGCAGAGGGGAGAGGGTGGTGAGGAGTAGGGAGGACTGACCATCAGAGTGGCTGCGGCTCAAATCTGAGACTACTAAACCTAGCATGGCCTCCAGTTGATTGGCTGGGCCAGCTCTTGCGGCCAGCAGGTGTCAGCACTCCCATTTATAAGAGACAAGGCCTTGTAGAAATAAATGTGGGCCCTTTGTTTCCCATGCTGTTCCCTGGAAGAATAAGGCCCCCGAGGGCCTGACTGTACTGTCGTGTTGTTATCTGACCAACACCAAAGCAGACTGTGCTTTGAACGGAAACACTATGGGAAGACAGAATGGGAACAGCTTTAGAAGCAGTCATGGTCAGGGGAGCTTGGACACCCTCATCCCTCATACTCCACTACCTAGTTAGATGCTGAGGCTCTGGTTTGGGTGGGCTTGTAAAAAAAAAGAAAAAAGAAAAAAAAAGAAAGAAAAGAGCCTTAGTTAAAATTTTAAATGGATTTTTAAAACCACCTTAGTCATTCCCAGTTCTAATGAGGGAGATGGAAGACCTGAGTTTAAATCTGGAAGGTTCACAAAGGAATCTAAGAGCAGAGCATCATAGCACCTCACAGTTGAGAGCTCAGAGACCATCGAGGTGTACCTGAGCAGACATCCCTTTGCAATATCCCTTTCAAGTGGTCATCCAGGCTCTGGGTGACAACCTTCAGTGATAGGGAACTCAGTCTTTCTAAGAAGCTCATTTTATTTCCGAACAGCTCTCAATTGGGAAGTTTTTACTTCCAAATAGGCTAAAAGGGGGAACAAGAAGGAATTGGAAGCTTCAAGTCTCCCCCTCTCCAATATCTTTTCTTGCTGGCTCAGAAATAGGTGGAGTAGAATTGAAAAAGAGAGAGAGAGAGAGAGAGAGAGAGAGAGAGAGAGAGAGAGAGAGAGAGAGAGAGAGAGAGGGAGAGGGAGAGAAAGAGAGAGAGAGAGAGAGAGAGAGAGAGAGAGAGGAGAGAGAGAGAGAGAGAGAAAGAGAGAGAGAGAGAGAGAGAGTGAGAGTTTCAGAGCTACAAAGGCCCTCTAGCCTCCATTCTGTCATTTGAAAAATGAGGAAGTTGAGGACTGAGGTTATTAAGTGCCTTTGCCCAAGGTTCTGAAGCTATTTACCAGAATCCAAGTTCCCCAGCTTTTGACCACTTTTGGCCTCTCCCTGCCTCCCAATATCCTTTGAGTGCATTAGCACTGGTGCTAAAGGAAGGATAACTGACTTTCTCACTTCCAGTGGGGGCAGGGGAGTGTTGGTAAAGGAACTGCCCAACTTTCTTCAAACTTGCAAGTGGCCTTGTATCCTACGAATTTGTCTAGTCTGCTTTTCAGGGGTTTCCAGACATGGCAAGGGTTTGGGGAAAAGTAACTAAAACTAATGTGAAAAGGAGATGTACCACAGTCAAAGGACTTTGAAAGTATAAGATGCTAGAGAAATCCCAGAGATCAATTTCCTCTTAAAATCCTGAAAATAGGCACTTTCTTTCAAGGGAAGAACCCGATGAAGAATAGATTCTTCTTCTGTGCCTTAGTTTCTGTCTCTCTGATGGGTGTACTCTTCATTAAACATTCAATTGACAAACATTTATTGAGAGGCCACTGTGGCAGATGGTATACTGTCGTACTGAATGAGGGCAATACAAAGATCAGACAGTATGTGGCTCATCCTCAAAAGGCAGCTAGGTGGTGCAATGGATAGAGCACTGGGTTTTGGAATCAGGAAGATGTCTTTATGAGTTCAAATCTGACCCCAGACACTTACTAACTGTGTGACCCTGGGCAAGTCACTTAACCCTGTTTGCCTCAGTTTTCTCATCTGTCAAATGAACTGCAGAAGGAAATAGCAAACCACTCCAGTATCTTTGCCAAGAAAACCCCAAATGGGATCAGGAAGAGTTGGACATGACTGAAATGATTCTATAACAACTTGCCCTGAAATTTATGATTTAATAGAGGGAAGGGGAGAATAAAGCTTGTATGAATAACTGCCACAGAAAACATAATTGAATAAGAGGTGTGAACAAAAAAGACTGAATAATGATGATTGAATGAATAAAAAGCATTATTAAGTACTTACTATATTTCAAGAGTGGAATACAGCTACAAAAAGCAAGACAGCCCCTGCCCTCCAAGCGCTTATTCTCTATGAGAGGAAGATAACACGTTATAGTGGTGGCCAGGGAAGCATGTTTTGGTCTGGAAAGTTGCAGAGTAGTATAAATTCAGCCTTAGGACAAGGGATTGACTGTCCTTTCTAGGAATAATAGTGTTGATTTGACTGTTGTTTCCAGAGCTAAAGGAGGAAAGCAATTGGGAATAGAGGAAGAAGGGAAGGAAAGGGGACACATACAGTGGCATAGCAGAAAAATGGCTGGAGATACAAAGATCAAATAAAATACGGCTCTTGTCCTTAAGTTTACAACTTAATAGAGGGAGGGAAGAATAAGATTACAACAGAAAATATAATTAAGAGGTGTAAACAAAAAGTTGAATAAGTGTCTTGGGTCTAGTTTAGTCTAGGTATGGTGAAGTCTCACTAGTCAGGAGCCCAATGGTCCTAGTAGGAGGGATAATGGCATGGATATTACCAGAGAGGCCAAAGAGCTTATCTTTGGCTAGGGGAACCAGGGCAGGCTCCTTGCAGGAGTAGGCATTTGATTAATTATGGCATTATTATTAATTATGATTGGACCTGGCATAATTAAGTAGGGGCTGTCTAAAGTTGCTTGGTTCTCCTTTAAGTTCTTACTAGAGTAAGAATGTGTTATACTGGAAAGGGTACTGGGTTTAGTACTGAAACATCTGGGCTGGCTTCTGTCTCCACCACTCACTACGCATGTGACTCTAATAAAGTCATTGTGGTTCTCAGCAGCTCAGTTTATTTCTCCATAAAATGAAGAGGTTTGGACAAAATTTTCTCAAAGGTTCCATTGTTTTTTGAAGTTTTCTCCTCCCAGCAATTATGGCTACAAGGTACTCTAGTAGAGCAATAGGTTAAATGTCATACTATGAAGTTAATATTTACTTAGTGTATTCAGCATTCATTGACTATAAGCTATTGCCTGGAGAATGGAAAAAGCCCAAACTTTGGACCTCTTTTCTTTGAGGAGAACCACCTACTGCAACCCAGCTTTGTTGAGTCATGTCCAACCTCTTTGTGACTCCATTCTCTTGACAAAGATATTGGGGTGGTTTGCCATTTTCTTCTCCAGCTCATTTGACAGATGAAGAAACTGAGGCAAACAGGGTTAAGTGACTTGACCAGGGTCACAGAGCGAGTAAGTGTGTGAGGCCAGATTTGAACTTATGAACATGAGTCTTGCTGATTCCAAGCCTTGTTGTTCTACCCACTGTACCACCTAGTTGCCTAGTTCAACCCAAGAGGTATCCTCAAAACCCCAGCGAACAGCTTCCCTTTAGACCGTGTGTATAGAATCAATTAGGGGTCCAGCTGTAGGCAGTAGGATCAAAGCCTCAGCAGAAAGCAAACCACTTGAAGTTCAAATATTTCATCTGGACTAGGGACACATTTACATTAAATTTTCGATGATGCAAAGAAAATAGGAGCCCTTTGAAAATGATTAACTTTTCAGCATTCATTTTTCAATGTAGGGAGTGGCAAAGCTCCCAGGATGTTTGAGACAAGAAATTCAATAGGAGTTGTCTTTCAAAAATTGGATAACCCTTTTCTCAGTGGTTAGGTCTAAATCCTCATTGTGTTTTTCTCAGGTTTTTATCCTTTGGAATGGTGTAAATTTCAAGGGTGTGCTGGCATAAGCTTTGAGAACTGGTTGTTAAATTTTCTATGTGAGCGTTTATACCTCAGAAATTGGTGAATGCTACAAATCAGGAATTGATTTATTGTTTTGTTGCTTGTCTCTAGATCTAAGCAATGGAGAAAATGTTAATATAGATTAAACTTAAAATTATGTCATGGGTACCTATTTTTCCCCTGGAGAGTTGGTTGTTAAACATTTCTCAGCATACTACTGGATAGAATGGTCAAGTGTCAAGAAGCAGACATTGCTTGACCCAGAGAGACAAAGCATTCCATGGTAAAATGAGCCTGTTAAGATGTCCTATTACTTTACGTGACTTATTGCCTGGGTTACCTTGAGCAAGTCATTCTCCAACTCTGCGTCGTGTGAGCTTCCTTATCTGTAAAATGAAAGAAGTGGAGGAGATGAGCTCTAATGACCCTTCTCACCGTGGATCTGCTTCATTTTGATGGAGTGGAATGGTGGAATGAATTTAAATCTCAATGAAACTATCCAGTCCTAGTAGAAAACTCACCCATTGTGACTGGGAGTTGTGCATTCTGACATCTAGACACAGGCTGACACACCCGAAGGAATAAATTATCCTTTCAGGGGCATTATAATAGTAAGAACCAGTAGGTGAAGCATTTAAAGGTAAGGTAGCATCGTAGATAGCATTCTGGGCTTGGAATCAGGAAGACCTGGGCCCCAGTTTTGGCTTCGGGCATTTGCTGGCTGTCTGATGGGGGAGGGTATGACATTGAACCTCTTATGTGCCTCAGACAGCTCCCTAGGATTTATATATTAAGGGGGGAAAAGGGAATAAGTATCTGTCACCCACAATATACTAGACACCTTGCTAAGGGCTTTACAATTATTACCACATTTGATCCTCACAACCACCTTGGGAGATAGGTGCTACTATTACCATGATTTTATAGATGAGGAAACTGAGGCAAAAAGGGGTTAAGTGACTTGCCTAGGGTCACAGAGCTAGTGAGTGTTTGAGGCCAGATTTGAACTCAGATCTTCCTGACTCCAGGCCTGACATGCTATCCATTGCGCCTCCTAGCTTAATAAATATTTGGGGATTGGATTAGAATTGTATTATAAAGTACTAAAATTAGGAAATTCAAACATACTTGTGCTGAGCAAACAGACTTCCATTTACTAAAAGTACTTCAAAAAGTAGTTGCTTTGCAGATTAAACTGATAATTAGCTTTAGGAATAGAAATGTAAATGGAAACACAGTTTAGGAATGAACAAATTATTGTCCCTACCTAGTGTTTTCTCTTTAGCTAAGACTTAAGGATACTATGTCTTCTTAGACTCATCTTTACAGTTGGATACATGGAACTTGATTCTTTCTGCCCTTGGAAGGACACAGATAATAGGCGATTAGTGAAGTCACTGTTGCCTTTCTGAGCTTGTTTCTGAAAAGTGGTACCTTGATTAGTACAGAGCTCTTAGCATCGTCACACCAACGCAACAGTTGCTGAAAGAAATGAAATGAAGGAAAAATCTCACCTGTTGAAATACCTACACCCTAAAGACACCATCAAGGAGAGAACTCTTAGAGGAACATGGATCTTACTCTAACTATCACAGTATCCTGGGGAGCTGACCAGCTCCCAAGGTGTGATAGGGGGATAACCCAAGTACTCAGAAGGAGCAGGTCTCAAGATCCCTGACCTGCTGGCCTTCAGCATCTTGATCTCTCTAGTTTCCTATCCTTTTGTCTCTCTCCTTTTCCCTTCAACTCTCTTTCTCCACTTCGATCTCTTCACACTCTTTCTTCTAACCTCTCCCTCCCTTCTCCAACTCTTTCCTTTTCTCCTCCCTTTGGATATTGATTTGACATATTAATCATTACAATAATAGCTAAAAATCCCACTGTGCTCCATTAATCAAAAGGAAAATCCTGTGTCAGCCACCAGATACTGTAGGGTACACTCCTACATTCTTCCCAGGCCTTTGGACAGCAGAAATTTCTAAGGTTCCACTTATTAACCAAACAGGAGGCCATTATGTAAAGCTACACTGAAGACGGAAAATGGGGAGAAGAATGTGGGAGGGCTTCAGTCAATGGAGTTGTTCATTAGTCACCCGTTGTTGAGCCTGACAAGCCCAGAAGAAAACCTTGGGTTCTCCTGGGGCATGAACTAGAGACTTTTAGAGGTCAAGTCCTTAGGAGTATTGCCAGGGGTTGGTCAATGTGACTATGAGGTTAAAGTTTGGCTTTGTTAATAGCTCTTATTACGATAAGGATCTAAGTCACGTGGAGGAGGAGAAAAATAGAAGAACTACCCCTCCCCAACCCCCAGAAGGTCTATCCAGTCTTAGCTCATTAGCTCCCTGGGTGTGGTTGGGGGTGGCTTCTTGCCATGCACCCAGGGGATGCTACTTCCTGTACTCTGGATCAAACTTCCCAGATATCTTTCTTCTTGCCATGTAGAAAGCGCCTGTTCACGTGGAAAGAGCTACCTGGTGCTTTGGGAAGCAATGGGGTGACGAAGTCCAACTAATTATTTTAATCCTAGAAGGCTCCTAGATATAGTGGAGAGAAAATTGGATCTGAACCCAGAAGCCTTGGGATTGAATGCCAGCTTTATCACTGAATGTTAGGGAGGCTTGGGGCAAATTACTTTAGTGCCCTGGGGCTTAAGGTCCCGTGTGTGTAAAATGAGTGACTTAGATGCAGTGGTGCTAAAGGCCCTTCCAGTGATAGATTCCATTATCCCACAACTTCAGGAGCAAGTTAGCTTCTTGGAAGGAAAGCAAACATCACTATTGTAGCTATAGATGCCACCCACTCCCTGGCCACCCATCTTGCAAACACAATTAATCACAGGGGGACTGAATGAGAACGTGTGAAGGATTTGTGTAAGGTAGCTGCATCACTGGAAAAACAACTGAAACCATATAATCTAGAAATCGTAGAGCAGAAAGAGATAGCTAGGTGGTACAGTGGCTAGAGGGGCAAGCCTGGAATCAGGAGGACCTGAATTCAAATCCAGCCTCAGACACTCAGTAGCTTTGTGACCCTAGGCAAGTCACTTGACCTTTGTTTGCCTTAGTTTCTTCATCTGTAAAATGGGGATAATAATAGCACCTTCCTCATGGGGCTGTTTGTGAGGATCAAATGAGATAATTAGAAAACACTTAGCACAGTTCCTGGCACGTGGTAGGAGCTATATAAATGTGAGATGCTATTATTTACAGCTCATGACATCTAACATCCTTATTTGACAGATATAACTGAGGCCATCTTAATTTATGAAGGGAAATACATATTTTTATTCTAAGCAGAATAGCAAATTTCTTGTAGGTAGGGTTAGTTTGTCTTATAGGTAGAATTTAGAAATTCATTCGTCAGACAGTAGAAATATGTAAAATGGCAATAGTTCTTATCCTTGTCTGTAACGTGGATTCATTCTAAATATTCTTTCCCAAAGTGACATAACTAATATTTGTCTAATAAAGATAGGTATTTATTAAGCAACTACTGTGTGCTCAATACTGTGTCAAATGATGTGGAAATTAAAAAAAAGACACGATTTCTTGGCCTCAAGGAGCTTTCAATCTAATTGGAGAGATAATGGAAATACATAAAACAGCTAGAGGGTAGTATAGTTTGATCAATAATACAATGTTAGATATGCTGTTTTTTATTTAATGAGGCAGTTGGAGTTAAGTGACTTGCCCAGTGTCACACAGCTAGTGAGTGTTATGTGTCTGAGGCCGGATTTGAACTCAGGGCCTCCTGAATCCAGGGCTGATGCTATATCCACTGCATCACCTAGCTGCCCTTAGATATACACTTGTAGATGGGGATAGGGGCCTTTTATTAAGGACATTGTGACAAGAATAGAGGATAAAAGTAGCCAGTTGTCCTACTCCTTCGAAAATGTCTTCTGGAAGTTCATTAAAGCTCAAAGGTAATTTCCAGGGCCCAGACCCTTGTTATAAGAGACATGAGGGAGTTAAAAGGAAAGCGTTCAACCTGATCACTTTCCTATGCAAACTAGTAGGATTGTAAGCCTAACTTAGAAATGAGCTGATTTGCAGTTGATTCAGGGAAATCTTGCAAAAGACCAATGACATTCTGTTCTCTTCGAGGCAGAAGCTATACAGATGAAAACGCCAGCAGATGTCAGCAACAGCTTGGGGGGAAAGCGATAGCAGCAATGAAGATGTAATGAATGGATAGATGAACAAAAATAATTTATTAAGTGCCTTCTATGTGCCCAGCACTGTGCTAACCACTGCAGATACAGGTAGAAGATTGAGACAGTCCCTGTACTCAAGGAGCTCACCTTCCAACTGGGGAAGACAAGAAAAATAAGAAAATTCAGGTGCAAGGCCTATGGAAAGGCCCAGAAGTTTGAAGAGAATGGCAGTGGGGTGAATTGGAAGGCCCAGGGTTCCTTATGGTAAACCAAGAGGTCTAGGGGATATGGTTGCAGGACAGATAGTAAAGCCTGGATGGTGAGAGGTGGGGGAGGAGAATTTATCTTATGAGAATCAATCAATCAATCAATAATCATGTCTAAAGCACCTACTATGAGCTAGACATTGTTCTGGACACCCAAGATACAAATATAAAATCAATGAAACCATCTATACTCAAAAGGAGTGTATAGTCTAATGGGTATGTGGTGGGTAGAAGAGGAGCCCCTGCTGGATTTCCCTTGTCATTTAATTTGCTACTCTGTCTTAATGAAGACCTTACTATTTGAATTATAATTCTTTCCTGGTCTATGGGAAGAGAATATACTGATGGGGAACTTGATCTATCTTTATATAACTAACTACAATTATCCCCCAACTTCCTGTAACTGATCCTGGGACAACGAAAGATTCCAGAATCATGGGAGACATGTTAGGTTAACAACAATTGTTTTTAAAAATATCTGCTATGTGCCAGGCACTATGCTAAGCACTGTGGATACAGAGAATGGCAAAAAAAAAAAAAACCAGACAAAAACAAAAGTCCCTGCTTTCAAAGAGTCTCAGTCTATGGCAGTTTGGTAGGAGATAGAGAGAGATAGACAACATGTAAACAATGATGTACAAAAAAGACAATGAAGAATAAATTGGAAATCATATTAGAGGGAAAAGTGGAACCTGTGCTATATACATTCCTTTTTTTCCCTCTTTCCTAAATTGCAGGTGGATGGAACTTCCTGGTTATGAGAACAGGAGTGAGCATAGGGAGTAGGGAAGGAGCCGACATGGCCTGAAAGTGAACAGGGCTGCTTTGTACTGGACTACATCTTCCTCCAGGTCTGTAGGCCTAAGATGAGGTCAAAGCCACACTGGTTTCTGGAAGCTTAGAGATTTCTGGGTGTCATTGGCCCAGGTGATCATTACAAAGATGGCAGGAAAATGGTTGCCTCTGTAATGAGGCCATAGAGGGCAATGCCTAAAACAAGGGTGGGGAACTTGTGGCCCTGGCCGTCTAAGTTCTCAAATTCGGCCCTTTGATGGAATCCACACATTCAAAGGTCTGCATCTGAGAACCCAGAGCGCCACTTGCGACCTCGAGGCCACAGCTTCCCCACCCCTGGCCTAGATGATACAATGGCCAGGGAAAGGGGCCAGCCACAGTCTGGAGAGGACAGGCTGTTTGCTGGCCCACAAAGCCCCGTGTTTCCTGACAACTTCCCAGTCTGTCTTGGATTGCCTTCCCTGTGTCCATGTCAACAAGGAACCAGCATTTACTAAGTGCTTACTATGGGCCACGCATAAAATGGGGTGTGCTGGCCGCTGCCACACAGCTAGAGTTTGGATTTCCACAGAGTCCTGTGACTCTCCCCTTTGCCTGGCTAAAGTCAGAAAATCAAATAAAGGTTGGAGGAAGCTCCCTTGTCGTTGACCTCTGGGGAGTGTGTGAAGGGAAGCCAGTCTAATATGATTACCAATGAGCCCTCCTCCTCTAAGCCCTCCATCCCAGGAGGGAAGAACTGTCCTTGTCAAGGTCATCAATTGGGCCTGCATTTCATTCAGCTGACTGAGGGAGAAACTCTCCTTTGCCCTCTGCCACTCCTCGGCCCTGAAGGCGCAGGGTGACTCAGTGGTCCTGAAGGCAGCTGGGGTTAGCTGAGCCTGATTCAAATGCCAGGAATGTTCAAATAGCATGCTTTTCTATGAATAGCCTCTCCAGCTGTTCTCCTGGAGTTACCCTCTCATCCAAAGTACATTTATACTATTCCTGTGTATGAACCCAAGCAGGAAATATTGAAAGTCTTACCTTTGGCCCTTCAAGACCAGCTTCATTGTCTTTCTCTGTTCCATAAACTCCCAGCAAGTGAAATATTAACTTCTGGTAGGATACCAGGTGACCAGTAGTCACCAAAAGTTCTCTTTTGCAGAATGCCTGAAAGGGCTGCACTGACCTGTGACTTCTGTAACCACTGATTGATTTTTGGCTCATTTCAAATATCATAAAAGCAGGGGAGATTTTTCCCAACCTTCAAATTTAATCCTGAATGACAGTTACAATAACTAAGTGATAAAAATGGACAGGAAAGTATAGTGGAAGGAGTCACAGGACCTGGGTTCAAATCCTGTCTCTGTTACTTCTTACCTTCATAATCTCAGCTAAATTGCTACTTCTGGGCCTCAGTTTCTTTATCTGTAAAGTGAGGGGACTGGATGGTTCTGCCATTTCCCTCCCATAATCCTCAGTATGCTAGCTGTATGCCAAGTCCTTGTTCCCCAGCTGGCTTCCCTGTCCCTTCTCAGCAAGAGCAAAAGCAGCCTTTTGAAAGACACTGGGAGCTGGAAGTTGCTGGCTAATGATAAACTGGCTAAAACAACAGTAACAACACTCCTGCCTTAATCGCCTCTCATTGCCTGCAGATACCTGCAGACACCTGCAGCGCCCTGGAGGGGGTGGCCCTGAACTCTCCTAGGTCCCCAATCCTCTTGGGGCAGCCACAGGGGCTCAGTTCCAGTCAGGAGTTGGAATCTTGGGCTGAGGGCATATGATTTTGAGATTTACCAGGACAGTGTGCTCACTTGAAGGCTTCTCTGGTGACAGATTCCATGCCAGGACAGAGTGACCAGATCCACTAATGAGCTCCTTGCCAGTAAGGATTGTTTCAGTGACTGTATTTGTAACCCCTAGTGCCAAGCACAGTGCCTGGCAGAGAAAACTACCTAATAAATGCTTGATGGTTGCTCAACTGGCTGCTCAGCACTGGAAGGGAGCTCAGAGCCTATGTGGTCTGAGCAGTACATACCCTAGCAAGGATCACCCTGCTGAGATGGATGGAACATTGAACTCAGAGTCAGAAAGACCTGGATTCAAATGCTGCCTCATGCCTTTGCTAGCTGTGTGACACTAGGTAAATCATTTCACTTATCTTTCAGTGGATTCTGTATAAAGTTTGTTTGTACATTCTTGTTTGCCTGTTCTCTCCCCAGTTAGACTGTGAGACCCTTGAGAATAGGGACTGTGATTTATTTATTGATTTCTTGATTTATTTTGCCTTTCTTTGTATCCCAGGCACTTAGCATGATACCTGGCACAAAGTAGAAGCTTAAGAAATGTTTATTGACTGATGCTCTGTGCCACAGTTTCCTCATCTGTAAACTGGGAGGGTTAAACTTAATGATCTCTAAAGTCTTTTAGAATTCTAAATCTGTGATCTTATGATTCTGTGAATCCTTCCTACAGTATCCTGACAAAGGATCCTCCAGTTTTTCTGTCTGAAGAGCTCCAGGGACGGGGAACCCACCTTCTCCTTTGGGCTTCCCTTTTCCCTTTTGGACTCCTCTAATTGGTAGGAAGTTTTTCTTGACATAGATCCTAGGGTTACTTTCTGCAACTCTACCCATTACTCCTAATTGGGTGCTCTGGAGCCTATGTTTTGTGTTTTGGTTTTTTTTTTTGATGTGCCTTTCCTGGCTGGCACCAGATGGACTGGACTGAATATGTATATGTGTATTTCTATCTGTGTGTCCAAGATTCCCTGAGGAATGGGGGGTGGGGATGGGGTGATAGGTGGGAATGTGCTGGCCTTTCAGAGAAGTATTACTTTGAATCAATCAATTAGTCAATAAACATTTATTAAGTACCGACCATGTGCTAGGCACTATGCTAAGTGCTGGGATACAAAAAAGATGTAAAAGACAGTCTTTGCCCTCAAAGAGCTTACAGTCTAATGAGGGAGACAACAGGCAAAACAATATATGCAAAGCAAGCTATATACAGGATGAATAGGAAATAATTAACAGAGAGAAAGCCCTGAAATTAAGGAGGGTTGGGGAAGACTTCCAGTAAAAGGCTTAAGAGGGTCTAGAGAAGCCCGAAGGCGTTGGCATCTTCCAACTCTGTGTGCCCTGAAAGCATTAGTACTACAGAACCTCTGACGTCCCCAGGGAATACTTCATAGTTGGACGTGCCCAACTTTGCCTCAAGTCGAAGCTTCAGGAACTCTTGTATAGAGGTTGCCAGTGGATTCTCTATGGTCATTGCTGAAATGGGCAAAGTGGCTTGTGTTCCAAGTGACAAATAAGTCTCTCTCTCTCTCTCTCTCTCTCTCTCTCTCTCTCTCTCTCTCTCTCTCTCTCTCTCACACACACACACACACACACACACACACACACACAGTCATTTGGAGCCACAAATACATTAGGCAGTAAAACATTCAGTTCTTCAATTTCTCCTAAAAGGCAAGATCCATATTGGCTGGATTAGGAATATCTCCATGGCAATGCTTTCCCGACAATTTATCATTTCACATGACTTTACTATTAGCTGGTCTTATGCTTGGTCTTGGAGATCTGCTGTGGTCATTTCAGCTGAGCTCATGCTCTCAGCAAAAAAAATGAAAAAAACAGTAGTCTCTCTGCAGGAATCCTGCCCTCCTAAAGACTCAGAGACCATAAAAATTTTCACACTATACTGGAAAACAGTCCTGTGCTCCTTCCCCCACCCCCCAACCTTGCCCCAGCACCACCAGTTTCGGGGGATGTTGAGTTTAGGAATAATAACAAGAGAAACTGTTAGAAGAGTGTTTGTGTTTTCTAAATGCCCAGCAGTGAGTCTGAGGGAGGTTCATCAGTAGGTTTTGTCATTCATCACGGCTGCCAAATGGCCCTGCATGAAAGATTTTGTGTAAAGCTGGGAAAAAGCTACTGAAGGGACCCAGGTTGCAGGAAAACAGGACAGAAGATTTCTAACAGCCAACTAAGGAGGAATCTGGATGGTCTGAGCTAATTGTCCATGGGACCAGGGGAGAGAAAATGTGGTCTGGTGGAATACTAATCACTCACATTTCTTTAGTGCCTTTAGGTTTATAGGGCACTTTCCCCATAGTTTTATGATCCCCTTATTTTCCGTTTGAAGAAGGATACTGAGAGGTTGGGTGATATGCACTGAGCCACACAGCCAGGCAGTGTCTAAGCTAGGATTAGAGAACAATTCTCATGATTCTAGGCTGGAAGGACACTCCCCACCATGATTCACTACCTCTAAACAAGCAGTTGAGAGATCTGGGTTCGAAACCCAGTGTTGTTGCTAATTTTCTTTGTGACTTAGTGACTATAGATAGATCATTTAATTGTAACAGTATCTGCTCTACCTATTTAAGTGAGAGCATGAATGTGGAAGCATTTTAAAAAAAAATATTCACAGTTGAACTAACTCTTAAAAAATCAAGATTTCAAGATTCTCTCTTGATTCTGTCTCTGATAATCAACATTATATATCATGCAAACTAATATATTAATGTATTAGATATATGATAATTAACATATATTATATGTGATATGTGATAATCGTTGTTATGTATTATTACATATTATGTGATAATCAACATTATATATGATATATGACTTTATAATATATTACATATTAATATGTGGTATTTAATATTATATGTTATAATCAACATTATATATGCCTTAATATATTTATATGTAGTATGATAATCAACATCATCTATTATATATTATAATATTACATACTAATATATTACATATAATATGATAATCAGTCTGGGGTTAATTTATCTGGGTGTCCCTCACTGAGGGAAACTATACATAATATCACAGCACGTTAGACTGACAAGACATCCACGTGCTAGGTGGTGCAACAGACAGAGCTCTGGGCCTAGAATCAGGATGACCTGAATTTAAATGCAGGCTCAGATGCTTCCTAGTTATGTAATCCTGGGCAAGTCACTTAACTTCTGTCTACCTCAGATTCCTCATCTGTAAAATGGAGCTAGTGATAGCACCTGCTTCCAAAGGTTCTGAGGGAAAAATGAGATAATATTTGTAGAGCATCTTGCAAACCTTCATTGCTGTGAAAATATTAGCTACTAATATCAGACAGGTACCAATTTCGGAACTGGATAGGCTGGTTTATAAATCATTCTGGTACTGAAGGCACATTTTGATATAGAAACTATGCTACAAATGGTGGTTAGTTTCCCAGGCTAGCCCACAAGAGCCAAACTAATCTATAATGTAGCAGGATTTGTAGTACTTTACTTTGTAGTCTGGATTTTGAAAACAGGAGGTCTTGTGGTGGTACAAGTAGGAAGAGGAGGAAGTTGAGTTTTTTCCTGTTTCACTGAGTACTGGATCCACTAAGGAGGCAGCTAAGTGGCTCGGTGGATAGAGTGCTGGGCTTGGAGTCAGGAAGACCTGAGTTCAAATCCAGTCTCAGACACTTACAAAGCTGTGTGACCTGAGTAAGTCACGTCACCTCTGTTTGCCTTCATACACTGGAGAAGGAAATGGCAACCCCCTCTAGCATCTTGGCCAAGAAAACTCAATGGACAGTATTGGTGTGCTCTGATTCACAGGGTCACGAAGAGTCAGACAGCAATAAGATCCACTAAAGACAAAAGTTTGCATTAGCTCCTCATGATCCCCATTTTGTTGTGGTTTACACTCGACAAAGCTTTGGGACCTTTTGCTTTCTTTTGTGAATCTCTCTCCTGACCATTTGCTTGTAGAGCTGCTTCCAGGCAACAAAAGCATCATGCTCATCTCTGCCTTCTACTGGAGTCCCCTGCCTGGGACTGCTCTAGCCTTCAAAGCTGTCCATACAAAATTCTGGACTCCCCCCTTGGCAATGGGGGGCAGGGTGGGGTGGGGTAGGGACAGGAAAGAGTGTAAAGGGAGATAGAGGAATGGAAGGATCACACAGATGGATGGGTTGCTTCACTTCTCTAGAGAGACAACCTCTTCTCAAGGTTCTTACCCTGAATGATAGAGGTGGAGGTTCCTCGTGGCTTGTGGCAGTATAGTAAAATGAATTTGGACTCAGAAGATGTGGATGGAAGCCTGGCCCTGCCACTTACTACCTGTGTGACCTTGGGCTAATCACTTAATCTCCATAGGCCTCAATTTCTTTTATTTATAGAATGAGAAAGATGGATTATATGTGGATTATATGGCTTCTGAGGTCTTTTCTACCTTTAAATCTATGATTTGTAAGGCAGAAATTCCACATGTAAGGATACCTCTTTAAAAGCAAATCTAATGGCTGAAAATCTAGGTTTATAAAAGAGACCAATTAAAGATTCATTATAATATTCTTTTAATTTGTGAGCTCCCAAGAGCATTTAAGATATTAGTCAGTTTACAGAAATGGGCACTCCACTTTTCTGGAACACATCTATTGTGCAAAGGGAGGTCAACCTGAACACTTCCCATCAATTTGTTGAAATGTTTCCCTGTTTTATTTAAAGAGATGGAATGGAAAGAAGTGCCTTGGGCTTGAAATCAGAAGCCATCACTTCAGATGGCTACTCAGCTTCAGGATGTTCTGAGGCCCATTCCAGCTTCCTGATGAGGTCCACTCCAGCTTCACTCAGGATGTTCTGAGGTCCATTTCAGCTTCCTGATGAGGTCCATTCCAGCTTCATTCAGGATGTTCTGAGGCCCATTCCAGCTTCATTCAGGATGTTCTGAGGCCCATTCCAGCTTCCTGATGAGGTCCATTCCAGCTTCATTCAGAATGTTCTGAGGTCCATTCCAGCTCAGAGATTCTGAGATCCTATGGCTTAACTCACTAAGAGATTCTGTTTCCTCATCTCTGAGATGGGGTCATGATAATTGCCCTGTAGTCATCAAATTATTATCAAGATCAAATAATTTTAACAATTATTTGAATATGAAAACATGCTCTTGTTATTGCTAAACACCTTCATAATTATTCTGCCCCAACTAGGATTATGTATTTATGGAAGACAAAGACTATATTTTCAGTTTCTTCTACTCATGCCTGAAAATAACCAATACTTATGTTCTACGCACAAAATGAACCCAGTAAATGCTCTTAGCTAAGAACTTTGATCATTAATTGGTAACATAGGGTAGC